AAATACCAATCAAATCACTTTAAAATGATTTTGAGCTATTCGTCTGTTTCTTTGTAGACGCCATCCTTCAAAATCGTCCTGTTAAAGCTCAAACTGCTTTTTTATTTTTGTGTAGCTCAAAGAGTAGTAGATAAAATATATATATAGCACCATGAGAGGGTTGATTTAAGATTGAATTAGGGACAGAGCAGCTAAGTGCAGACAGAAGGTCTTTCACTGCTAAATATTAGAAACTGCTTTAGGGTAGCACAGATCAAAACCTTGATGGAGAAATATAATCCAGGCCGCAGAGCAAGGTGGAAGGAAGACTCGTATCGAATATCAAGTCATCCTCTATTACAGTCTGTAATGCATGACAGAACCTTTTCCTCAGACCTTAATGGATATAAACTTTTCTGCAGACTCAGCCTGAAATGTTGTTTATGCTCTTTTTCTTACGCAATGTACTATATTATTCTTTATGTCCCTGAAATGCACAAAAACTAAGTTATTTTCTTTGTTTTGCTGCATTCAGGTGTTTCTAAATGGGGTGGTTTTCTGCAGCCACTGTCAGCTTCAGGACACGGCAAAGATCAGCCGCAGCCTGAGCCCACAGAAGCAGCAGCAACTTTTCGAGCCCCGCTGCCTTCCTCTTCCTCTGCTTCGCCTCCTGACCACAGACAGGCAGAGGGAGTGGTGGGACGCCATCTACAGCCTCATTCACAAACGAGCCGCGTGAGTATCAGAAGAAAATACAGCAGATGTGGCACCAAAGACTTAAAGATCAGGTTTATATTATCAAACCAGTGGATGGAGAAACTCAGCAGTGTTTGACCCATTTCCTGTTTTAATCCTTATTTTTTTATCATTATTTATAGTCTAAAGTTGATTTATCTTACTGACTAATTGAAAAGAAGCAATTTTCTTAAAAACTGTAATTTTCATCATATGAAAGGCTAAAGTTTTTACTTGTCCCAGCTGTATCAAATAGTGATGAAACAAAAATGTGTGGTTTAATTGCAGTCCTGGTACATCAGCCAAGCTGCGAATGGTTATTCAACATGGACTGAACACTCTGAGAGCTGGAGAGAAACACGGGCTTCAACCGGCGCTGGTGATCCACTGGGCGCAGAGGCTCAGCCAGACGGTACGTCAAACACTCGCATTAATAGAAAGGTACCTCCACTGAATCTCAAATCACCGGGGGAACGCATTAGTCTCCACTTTTATAAATTGAGATGCAAAAGTATTTTGACATCTTTATCTTTGATGTATTAGCTTTGATGTATTTAAAACTTGTTTAATGCTGATTCTAAATTTTTAAGACAACAAAGTAGAAAGAAAATGATGCATGGTTAAACTGTGAGGAGTTGTGGAGCCACCACTTTTACTCTGGTTCTCCTAAATCAAATTTGGTGTCTTTAATTAAAAAGGCAGGTAAGAAGTTAAAGGTGCCGTATAAGATCTTGGAAAAATAGTATGTGTCAGGGTACGCACACAGGGGGAGAGAGAAACGGACGACCCTGATGGACGTGTCAGGAACCAATATTGGCCCAAGGACCCTGTTTTGATTGCTGGGCATTACTTATTAATTTCTCACTGTAGCAGGGACTTTTTTTTCTTCTTTGTTTCACTTCAAGACCTTCTATTTCACTGCTTGCTATGCGGCTGTGGGTAGATCTACAAGCCAAATAGTAAAAAATGCGTCACAAAAGATCTCCTACTGCACCTTTGATAAGAAGGGCTCGAGTAACTGAAAAAGTTGTAGCAACCCCCTGCTACACAAAGTACCACTGGGTACTCCTTAAAACTGCCTATAAGATGACAATCTTTGACAGAATAAACAAAGGTTTTGAACACCACAGCCGCCAATGTGGTGGCAGCATGATGCTGTGGGATTCTTTTTTTAATGGTACAAGAATGCTGTTGGAGTTAATGAAGCCTCTTTCCCAATGAAACTAGTGGGTTAAAGTTGGTTTTTCAAACACGGGTTAACCTGTAAATTTTTCAAATGACTCGCCAGCAATCTGCATGGCCTCCTTCGTCCCACTGCTGCTTCTCTGATGAAGCCGTCATGCTGGGTTAGCATTGATCATCTCAACAGTGCAACAGAAATCGGGAAACTATGCGGAGCAACATGGCAGGAAGCCAGGGCGTGGTCAGCAGCCTTTACTGTTTTGCTCTTTTGTCCGTCCAAAGCTGCTTCATGTTCATTGAATGTAAGCAGAGTTGTTTTGGCTCGTTAGGACAGAAGCGACTGGCGGAGCGTGTTGACGTCCGTACCTTGTCCTCAATGGTATTATGTAAATTTTTGGATCGACTCAGGTCAGGATTCGACCTGAATACCAATCGGAGCCGAGCCGTTTGAAGTAGATTTTAATCTGCATCTCTTGCCGAGTTGTTTGACACGGTCAACGTGGGTCAGTGAGCTGTTCCCACTGCCACTTAAAGCTGAATATTCCCGGGTTAAACCGGTTTTTCAGCCAGTGGGAAAGGGGTAATAGAAGTTCAGTGGATGATATTTAAAGTGGCCTGTTGGAAGCAGCAACAGACTTTAGACCCAGGCAGAAGTTTAAGAACCTTAACAATTAAACCAGAGCTGCATGGAATTAAAATTTTTAGAGTGGCCCATTCAAGGTACTAACAAAAATTCAATCTGTTTCAGGTTTTTGTGTGTTTAAAAACTGGGAAAATTGATTTTCCTTCAGTTTTGTGCAACTTTGTCTTTAATGACATCCTACTGAGAAATATTAAAGTTTAGTTTTAAGCTAACAAAGTCTTAAAATGTTCATGTGTTGAAAGACCAGGATCTGTAATCCTAACCAACTTAAATCTCTTCATATTGAATCTAGTTAAACTCAAACCTGCTGAAAAACATTTTTAGTGTCTGTAGATGCTCACATCATCACACCTGCTCCTTTCCCTTCCTTTTCTCCTCACCTGCTCAGCAGGATTAACTCGACTCAAACAGCCTCATATGTTTTTTTTTTTTCTTTTCCACTACTCATCTCCTGATCTTCATTCTTGTAATGTGAATGTTTATGCTTTGCTACACAGGGTGATGGAATAAACTCATATTACGACCAGAAGGAGTACGTTGGCCGCAGCGTCCACTACTGGCGAGTCGTTATGCCTCTGTTGGAGAAAATAAAAAACAGACGGAGTATACCAGAACCCCTGGACCCTCTCTTTATACACTTTACTTCTAAGGATATTCAGGTAACTATTAAACTGTGAAAACAAGAAGTGACGCTTCATTTCCTAACTCGGAGTCGCACCTTATTGTTTTACTGACGTCTGTTCGCTTTATGTTCACAGATTTCTTCTGTGAAAGCTTATGAAGAAGAAGCCGAAATAGCTTATGCTGTTCTTCTGGACATTGAAGGCAGAACAGAGGAGGCTATTGCGACTTTGGAAAGCATCAATAACATGTCATCCATCTGGCACTTAGCACAGGTAAAGGACCTACTGTTCTGCAGGCACAGGATGCGACAAGATTCTTACTGTGTGAGAAGTAAAAATAACAGTCGCTCTTTTTTTGGTTGTTACCAAACATGCTTGCTAGCCTACAGTCAGCTGCTAAACAGACATGAGTTCATGAGTTAAACTGAGTTTAAGTGATCAGATGGATTAGGAAAAGCACCAGTTAGACCTTTTGTTGCTTCTGACATTTCTTTTTACGTCTGATCCACATACTGACTAGTAATTTGTTCACATTTTCATATTTTGAGGTCTATAACTCATTTTATTTTTGTATTTGTCAATATTGGAAAACTGTGATTAATACATGCATCCATCTTTAATGATGGATTAGCTCTAATTCTCTCCTTCAAACAGGGATAGAGACAAAAAGTAAATTTAAGTACTTCAAATTGTAGACATTTTTTATAACCAAATCTTTAATTCATTTTGGTTGTTAATCAAGAAATATTGATTATATTTGACAATACTTGAAATTTGACAATAAGCCCTTTGTCATGGGGTATCTGCTTTTATCAAAGGTTAATTGAATCTCTTCCTTTATGGTTTGATTCTACAACTTTTGGGCAAAATTGTACCTATAGTTAAAAGTAAATGGTAATTCTGATTATTTTCCAATTTTTAACAAATCACTTTTTTGTCTTAATATTGGGTTTCACACCCATTGAGTTTGTTGTCTTAGAGCCGAGGCACAAACTAATAATCTGCAGTTGTCCATTGAGATCTTTTTGAATAATTTTGTATTTCCTTACCTCTTTAAACAGCTTATAATTGTATGTATTCTTTAGCTGAACATGTTGAAACTGTTGTTAAGGAATAGGTCTATTATTTACTCTTCGGGGAGAAGAAACAGCACTTCCTGTTACTGTAACACCAGTACTATTTTTGGATCAGGAATGGTGAAGCAGAGCCAATTCAGGAGATGAGAAAATTTTTTAACTTACTTATGTTTCTTTTTATTAGGGTCGTAATGAGAACTGGCCAAATTTCTTTACCAAAAGAGACCGAACCCTGAGGTTTATCTGTTATGTCAGCAGGGATTAGTCATTTAGCATTTTCTGCTCTTCATTGTAGGCTTGCTTTAAAAAGCTTGTGCAGTGCTCACCAAAAAGTTGGCTTATGGTTTTGTAATTTATTTGGCAGATATATCAGCGGCTTGCAGAGGAGGCCAGCAATGGTTTGGAGGAGACCCAAGACAGGTGTATCACTTTTCTAAGGAAGTTCAGGAACTATCTGTCTAAGATCTACAATGCCAATGCAGAGGACATTGAAAAGGTGTGTGGCAAGTTTAAAGCATGAAAATAGCAATAGTTTCATACTTGGGTGTTGATAATATGTTAACACCTGAAACCAGGACTTGACATTTTAACCTTTGAATCTGGTCGTCTTTGCTAACATGGTGCAGCTGCCGGTGTCCATGGAGGAAGTGTTGGACCTCCTGAACGACGTCAATCAGCAGCTTGGGGAAACTGGGGAGGTCATGGAAGAGGAGGAACAGCAGGAGCTGGAGCTTCGGCGAGGACCACTTCACTCTAGCCCTGCTCGCCTCACAGACACCAGTGCAGGCATATCGCATGTTAAGTTTGCTTCTCCCTCTCCAAGCAAAAGCATTGTTTCTCCCTCCAAACGACTGGTTAGTCCATACCTCCAGTTTAAGTATTTGTCAATCATTTCCATTGAATGATTATTGATAGAAACTTATTTTTCTCTTATTATGTGCCCTTTTTTCATTCAGATTTCACCAAAGACGCCACCTCACTGGGTTGAAGACCAGAAAAGTCTCCTTCAGATGTTATGTCAGCAGGTGGAAGCCCTCAAGGTCAGAACTAAAGATGTAGAACATTGTTTAGCCACAAGCACACAAAAGCAATAGTATTTACATAAGGATTGTTTTAACAACAAATCCTTTTAAACATTTTTATAAATGTCACTACAGTTTATATTTAATTGCTCTGAAATTAATTTGTTTACTGACTTTACCTTTTTCCCTCCAGAATGAAGTCCATGATCTAAAACACAATGCATCAGTAAACTCTGGTTCTCCGCACCATAAACTGTATGGTGAGAACTACAGGGCTGACAGCTTACAGGAGCCATTTACCCCAGTCCAGTCCTACCATGGAGCCCCTCTAACTGGTCTGTATTCTACATAGATTTACAACATTTTTAAAAGGTTTTCAAACTCCTGGAATGTTTCAGATTTTGTCAATAACGCCACAAAATTAATTGGTTTTATTAAAGTTATAATCAAGACCCACACCAAGAATTGCTTTTGTTTTTTTTTCTTTACTGCGACACCTCTAACACAATCTAGTCACTCAAATTGTGTTTAGAAACCAAATAATTAGTAAATGGGGGTAACATGTGTGAACAAGATGTGAAGATGATGGAACATATCTGATTGAAGGTCCTACGGTTTTCAAAGTTTACTATATATGTGATGAAATATTGCCTTTGGAACTAAATGGTAAATTACATTTTCAAGTTGGAGGCTCCAAAGCGCATTATTACATTCAGTCATTCTCACATTTGTAAACTGATGGTGTGGAGCTAAAACATAGCCACAGCTTCCCTGGGGCTCATTGATAAAAACCAGGCCCTCTGACCACCAGAGGTAGGCAACAGAGGTGTTAACTGAGAGCAACTGGCAACCCTTCTGTTAGAACATTTTCTGTTGTGCATCACATGATCATATATGGTGGATTTTGTGGTTTTGTTTTGTTTTTTATGTAACTAATTAAATCTAAATAATATTGTTTAAGGAAGTTCAGATCCTACTGAAATAATTTTCATTCTATCAATATTATTGCAGGTACATCATTACAGAAAGAAGTTTGTTTCCTTCAGTTTTTTAACTTTTTTCTCTCTTTCAAGTTGCTACCACAGGCCCTCCTGTTTATTACAACCAGTCCCCTCAGTATCTACTGCGGACAGCTGCGAATGTAACTCCCACCAAGGTGATTGTTGTGTAACACATTATTTATTGAAGTACACTTTCGCAGACTGTTAAGTATTTATCTATTTTCTGGGTTGTCTTTACACAGGGTCCAATGTATGGTGTGAACCGTATGCCACCCCAGCAGCATATGTATGCCTACCAGCCGCCCACTCACACACCCCCACTGCAGACAGCCCCGCCCTGCATCTACCCTCCCCAAGAACAAGTTTTTAGTTCCCCTCTTCGGTTTGAGTCTCAGGCCACAGGTCTTCTTTCTCCATATAGTGAAGAATATTATGGGCAGAATGTCCCTCAGCAGACCACCAACCCAACTCTGCCTGAACCTGGCTACTTCACCAAACCGTCTGTACCCCCTGTTCAACCACCAAAGAATATGGAAGGGAAGCCCATGGACTTTGGGAAGCTTTCCTTCAGCCAGCAGGCTTCAGATGATGTCCACAGAGTACCCAGTTTCGGAGCAGGGGCAGCAGCTCAGTCTACACCCCAACCTCCCTTCAGTTTCAACTCCTACCTGAAATCCAATGAAAGAGATTTAAGTTTATCTACATCCCAAACCAAACAAAGCGAGAGTTTGCTCGGCCTCCTCACGTCAGACCTCCCAGCAAAAACTGACACAGTTCCAGAGAAGCCCTCCACGCAGCAGCAGCCCCCTAGCAACCAGGGCATCTTTACGTTTGGAAATAAAAACATAAGCAGCTTCTCTTTTGCAGATTCCACTTCCAAAACAGCGGCTGGAGGCGTCTTTGGGAAGGTGGAACAGCCGTTTAAGTTTGGTGAAGTCACCCTCCCAGCGTTTGGCATTGGCAAGACATCAGAGCCGGAGAAGTTGGCAGAGAGTGACAATGAGAGCACCCATGCTGAGGAGGATGAGGACGGTCCTCACTTTGAACCCATTGTCCCCCTTCCTGATAAGGTGGATGTGAAAACGGGTGAGGAAGAAGAGGAGGAGATGTTTTGCAACAGGGCGAAGCTCTACCGATTTGACACGGAGACAAAAGAATGGAAAGAAAGAGGAATCGGCAATGTTAAAATCCTCAGACACAACACTAAAGGGAAGGTGCGCCTCTTGATGAGAAGAGAGCAGGTCCTTAAGATTTGTGCAAATCACTACATTACTCCAGACATGCTACTGAAACCAAATGCTGGCTCAGACAAATCATGGGTGTGGAACGCCATCGACTATGCAGATGAAGAGCCTAAACCGGAGCAGCTGGCCATTCGCTTCAAAACTGTAGATGAGGCGGCTCTATTCAAAGCCAAGTTTGAGGAAGCCCAGAAAGTGGTGCCGGAATCTCCAGAAAAGCAGAAGCAAGAGAAAAAAGAGGAAACCTCCAAGGAGTTTGACTCTCTAGCAGCTCGATTTGCCCCTAAAGAGGGCGAGTGGGAGTGCGGTGTGTGCTGTGTCAGAAATACAGCAATGGCTACGCAATGTGCCGCATGCAACACTGCCAATCCACAGTCCTCATCAAAACAAGAACTTCAGGTTACAGGTGAACCCAAATCCAGTCCGTTCACCTTTAAATTTGGTACAGATTCATCAAAGCCAACCGGTTCAAGCTCCACGTTTGCTGGATTTGGTGCTTCATCAAAGCAAACCGGCTCAAGCTCCATGTTTGCTGGATTCGGTGCTTCATCAAAGCCAACCGGTTCAAGCTCCACGTTTGCTGGATTCGGTGCTTTTGGAACTTCAGTGCCCTCCTCCTTTACATTTGGGGGCAGCGCTACCAAGTCTGCTGACCAAACGGATAGTCCGTTTGGTTTTAGCCTTAATTCACCATTTGCCACAAAGCCAGAGCAGTGGGACTGTGCCAAGTGTTCTGCAAAGAACGAGGCCTCAACAAACAGTTGTGTCTTTTGTAAAGCTCCTAAAACTACAGTTAAAACATCCTCAGTGGCACAAATAGCTCCAGCAACAGAACCTCTTCCTGCAGAGGCCCCCATATCGGCACCTGACGCTGGATTTGCTGTACGCTTCAGCAAGAAGCCTGGACAGTGGGATTGTAATGTTTGCGAAGTAAGAAATGAAGCATCTGCTGATAAATGCGTTGCCTGCCAAAGTCCAAACGCAGCCTCCAAATTATCCAGTGGAGCTCCAGCTGCATCAAATGCTCAAGGAGTGTCAGGATTTCGGGCTGAATCTGCCAATAAATTTGGTACAGATAAATCAAAGCCACCCAGTTCAAGCTCCACGTTTGCTGGATTCGGCGCTTTTGGAACTTCAGTGCCCCCCTCCTTTACATTTGGGGGCAGCGCTACAAAGTCTGCTGACCAAACGGGTAGTCAGGTTGGTTTTAGCTTTAATTCACCATTTGCCACAAAGCCAGAGCAGTGGGACTGTGCCAAGTGTTCTGCAAAGAACGAGGCCTCGACAAATAGTTGTGTCTCTTGTAAAGCTCCTAAAACTACAGTGAAAACACCTGCAGTGGCACAAATGACTCCAGAAACAGAACCTCTTCCTGCAGACGCCCCCATATCGGCACCTGACGCTGGATTTGCCATACGCTTCAGCAAGAAGCCTGGACAGTGGGATTGTAATGTTTGCGAAGTAAGAAATGAAGCATCTGCCGATAAATGTGTTGCTTGCCAAAGTCCAAACACAGCCTCTAAATTATCCAGTGGAGCTCCAGCTGCATCAAATGCTCAAGGAGTGTCAGGATTTCGGGCTGAGTCTGCCAAGAAGGACGGAATGTGGGACTGCAACTCCTGTTTGGTCAGAAATGAAGCCTCAGCAGCTCAGTGTGCCTCCTGCAAATCTCCAAATCCAAACCCTTCTTTAGAGACCATGTTTGGCAAGAAAGAAGGAGAGTGGGACTGCGATGTCTGCCTCGTGAGAAATAAGGCCTCTTCTAATGAATGTGCGGCCTGTAAAACCCCAAACCCAAATGCGAAAAGCTCAGTTACAGCAGCCCCCTCTGCCTCTTCTTTCAGTTTTAACTTTGCAAACAAGAGCTCATCAAGCCAGCCCGCTGGAGGCGCATTTACTTTTGGGAGCGGTGGGACTTTTCAGTTTGGACAAAGTAAAGAAAAGAAATCATCTGCTGCAATAGAGTTTGAAGCTCCTCAGGCTGTTCCAACCACCACAAGCTCCTCTGGCTTTTCCTTTACAATGCCCATCCCAGCTGGTGGCTTCAAGTTTGGAGTTCAGGACTCTGTGGCAGATTCTTCCTCATCTGATAAAGCACCTCCACCCGGGTCAGCCTCGACTGTCCTGAAAAACATGGCTGACAAACACAAACAGAATGAAACTGTGTCCACGCCTTCAGTGGACCAAAAGGAAAAGGATCTCAATCCATTAATAGCTGGAAACACAGATGCCTTCAGTTTTGCAGACTTGGCCCAGTCCTCAGATGGAACCTTCCAGTTTGGCCAGAAAGATCCAAATTTCAAAGGTTTCTCTAGGGCAGGGGAGCAGGTATTCTCATTCTCACAGACGACCCCCACGAAGGCAGACACCTCAAATGACCTGGAAGACGAAGGCATGTATAAAACGGAAGAGCATGACGACATCCAGTTTGAACCAGTGATCCAGATGCCTGAGAAGGTGGACCTGGTGACGGGTGAGGAAGACGAACAGGTCCTCTACTCCCAACGAGTCAAACTGTTTCGATTCGACACCGCCACCAGTCAGTGGAAAGAACGTGGCGTTGGGGTCCTCAAGTTCCTGAAGAACAACACAAACGGCCGACTGAGGGTGCTCATGAGAAGGGAACAAGTGCTGAAGGTTTGCGCCAACCACTGGATCACCACCACTACTAACCTGAAGCCCCTGGCTGGCTCAGACAAGGCCTGGATGTGGCTGGCCAATGACTTCTCAGATGGAGACGCTAAACTGGAACAGTTGGCTGCCAAATTTAAAACCACGGAGATGGCAAAGGAGTTCAAAGAGAAGTTTGATGAGTGTCAGCGACTTCTTTTGGATATACCCCTGCAGACTCCCCATAAGCTTGTGGACACTGGCCGAACAGCTCACCTCATCAAGAAAGCTGAAGAGATGAAGTCAGGTTTGAAAGACTTGAAGTCCTTTTTGACCGACGAGAAGACGAAGATCCAAGATGACGATACGCAGAGGGACGTCTCTGCCACAGGCGAAATGTCCGGTCTGGGGATAAGAACTCACGGGGAAACCACAGGCCCTACATTGGAGTGGGATAATTATGACCTACGAGAGGAAGCTTTGGATGATACTGCTGACTCCTCCATCTACACCACCCCTGTAGCCAGCAGCCCCCTGAGAAAGAACCTCTTCCGCTTTGGAGAATCCACAGGTGGGTTCAGCTTCAGTTTCCAACCTGGAATCAGCCCTTCCAAGTCTCCTGCAAAGCTCAACCTGAGCAGAGCCTCAGTGGGTACCGATGAGGAGCAGGACACGACTCAGGACGAGGAGCGAGACGGACAGTACTTTGAACCAGTGGTGCCTTTGCCTGACTTGGTGGAGATTTCTACGGGGGAGGAAAATGAGCAGGTGGTCTTTAGCCATAGAGCCAAACTGTATCGCTATGACAAAGAGATTAAGCAGTGGAAGGAGAGGGGCATTGGAGACCTCAAGATTCTGCAGAATTATGACACCAAACGAGTCAGGTTGATAATGAGGAGAGATCAGGTACTGAAGCTCTGTGCCAACCACTGGATCTCTGCCGCCATGAAGCTGGAGCCCATGAAGGGAGCAGAGAAGGCCTGGGTCTGGAGTGCCTTGGACTTTGCTGAAGAAGGGGACGGTAAAGTTGAGCAGCTGGCTGTAAGGTTTAAGACACAAGAGTCAGCGAGCACATTCAAACAGGTCTTTGAAGAGGCCAAGGTGTCTCATGAAAAAGCAGAACTAATGACTCCTGTGACGGCAAGAGTCCCTACAACACCAGAAAGCGGTCCGGCAGCACCATCTGAATGCACTACTGCGTCTCTCTGTGGGCCTGCAGCAATTGCTGTTCTGGAGGAGACGACGCGGGAGCGAACAGCAACTCCCCCTGTTACCAAGCCAACTGCAGCCGGATCCACAAGTCCAATCAATCCCACGAAGACCGTGGTGTCCCCACCAAAGTTTGTCTTCGGCACTGATTCTGTTCAGAAGATCTTTGGTTCTCCTAAATCAGAGTCCCAAGCATCTGCATCTGTGACGAGTTTGACGGCCAAAGAAGGTGGAAGCTCCTCCAAGCCTGTTACTGCTCCAGCATTCAAAATGCACACAGGTCAGAAGAAGTTATTGCACATTTTAATTTTGGTTGATGGTGAAAGCTAGCTTTTTATTCCCTTTGTTTAGTCATCAAAGCTGACATTTGACCCATCACTAGAAATATTCTTTATAAAACCTTTTTTTTTTGTGCTCGATGTTACTATTATTTTTAAAGTGTCATATTTTGTTAGATTAATCTGTGCAAACAGAACCACTGCTGTCTGAAGATGCCCTCCTGTGTAGAAGCTAACATTCACTCAGCTTTGGCATGAAAGCCATATTAACTTTGGTCAGTTTCAGGGTGGATTTTTAAAATGTATTTTTTGTAAGTTGCAGCTTTTGGTTCTTGTTTTTGAACAGTACACACTTAAACTTGTCCACCTCAAACGCTTCAAAAAGCACTAAACAATAAGAAGTTTTACATGCTAAAGATGAACCTCTACCCAGAGCTGTTAGGGAAATATTTAAGACCAGGTTGTTGCACTGTTAGGCTTTCGCGCATATGAAAAATCTAGGCTTTTTTTCTGATCATACCAGCCTTGTAATTGGTGTTTCTTCACCAACAACAACCCATCATCCTTTAGGGCTGGATTTTAGGCTTTTCAAAGATAACCCAATGGCCTTTTGGACCAGCACAGCCACCATCCAATTTGAAACCCCAGGTACTCTAAACATTGCAGTGTGTGTTAGAACCTCTCAGCTGTCACCCAGCTGACCCCGACTAGAACAAACAATAACCTGTTTGCACGGAGTGGACAAAGAAACCAAACTGAAGCTAACATGCTGCATGTTGAGTGTGTTTTAGTTCAGTCCTTCATATCTAATTTCGTAATCACATTACAAGATGTAAGCATCTTGTGTGCAAGCAAGCTTTAAAACTAATGTCTGTGTCACGGGGAGCGTATGCTTTCATGGCCAAAAGCGTTTGTACCGCTAGGGTTATTTTCCCCAGAAAATAAAGCATTCCATACAAAAATCTATTGTAGCGTTATTGTGTGTTGGAACATCAGAAAGCCAAATTTAACTTCGTCTTTTGCAAAACTCTAAAATCTGGGTTCGGAGTTTTGCTGATGAGTCTTCCAACAGGACGAGGACCCCAACTAATCTCAGAAAGAGGTGGAAAACAGCACTTGACAGTTTTGAAGTCGCCAGCTGGACATACAGAACTGAATCCCCTTTAACACCTGTGCAGAGATCTCAAAACTGCTGCTGGGAGAGGACACCCTTTAAATATCAAATAGCTGGAGCAAAAGAAGTGGTCCAAGACAGTGTTTGTTTTCCAGAGGTGCAATGACCTTTTAAGTAGTTTGTTTGGCCCGTTATTATAGTTTTGCAAGAAATAGTATAAAATTAGCTTCTTCTTTTCATGCTTTTCTGGTGTTCCAATACAAAATAAATACATTTTTTTAAAGGAAACTCTTTGCTTTCTGTGAGGGGAAAAAAAATAGAGGTGCCATCACTTTTAGCCATGACTGTATATATATGAACAGTTGGACGATTTTTTGTTATTGATTTACTTTAAACCCAAATAATTTAGGCTGCTCATATATCCTATGCATGCAATCTTCCTCAAACGAGCCAAGTTTAAGCTAAATATCCCTTTACTGTTATGTTTTATAAATATTACTGTTATTTGGCATGACTCAAAGTAGAAATTTGAACCGCAGCAGGAGGCACATCAGTAAAACTGAAATGTTTCCTGAAAGGTGATCTGAGAGCAGAGGATGTTCCCTGAGAGAGACATGCGCTGTGCCAGCGTCACAGCGCCATTTTTAGTGCTGGATGTATAGCAACAGCATGAAATGTAATTTGCTGCCTGGTGAGACATTTGCAGATGTTGTGTACCTCAGCAGAGGCTAATTAGGGAGACGGCTTTGAATGGTTTAATGTAGTTCTACCATATGTCCAGTTTAAAGTGGTAGACTTCAACACGGCATTAGAACTGTCGTTTCTCACCACAGTAAATCACATGCATGCTTTTCATTGTTGTGCATGTACTTTTATGTTACTGTGTGGATGTATCTAACCCTGGCACTTAAAACGGCGATAAATATGTTTGTTTTGTCATTGTCAAAGCTGTTTTCTTAATGTCTACCTATCTGGTATGTGCATAACAGGCTCTCCTCAGGCTGCAGCTTCCAGCTCAGGGTCCGGTGACGACTCTGATGTGGAGATCGTGTTTGTCAGAGAGCCCACTGCTGAACAGGCCGCCTTAGCCAGGAAACTCATGCTGCCTCTCACCTTCTTCTGCTACAAGAATGAGCCAGGCTACACCAGTGACGATGAACCTGATGGTGAGGCAGAGTTGACTTACTAGAAAGTAATAAAGAATGCTGGGTAAAATGCATCAAAAATGCTCCAAGTATGCGATCAAACATAATTTCTGTATTAGTGCGGTTACTTCTAATATTCAAACTATTATCAGTTAGAAGAAGCAAACAGTGAATCTGTATTAGTTAGAAACACAAATACTGAGTAAGATTTTATTCACTAAAATAATTAAACATAGTTGGGTTTTACTAAATTTATTTTTTGTTTTTAGACGAGGATTTCGAGTCGGCTGTTAGAGCCCTGAATGGAAAGCTTTACCCCGACCCTCCTGAAGCTGCAGCAGCGGCTTGTTCTGAGGGTAAATCTCCAACATCATCACATTAATTAAAGTAGTTTTTTTTTCAGTACAGCTGTGGTTTAAACCTCTGTGTGCTGCTTTCAGAGTCAGACTGTCAGTTTGTTTGGGAAAAGAAACCAACCCCAGAGGAAGAGGTGAAGGCAAAGAGCCTCCAGCTTCCACCCACCTTCTTCTGTGGCCTGAGCACCACGGACAGCGACCCAGACGCCGATGAGCCTGAAGACTTCGAGACGGAAGTTCGTAAAGCCCACCGAGACCTGGTAATGACCCACAAGGCTCAGAATCTGTTCCAGAGTTCACAGCAGATTCTGCATTGATATTTATTTCATTACACGTCCATATCATCCATGTCTGCATCAGGTCAACCTGATCCAACTGCTGCTAAAATTGAAGTAAATGTATTTTAGATTATTAAAGGCATGGAAGCTCTGTCAGTTTCCTGGCCTCTGGATGATTTGTGCTCAAAGATACAGATGGTTTATATGTAGATTTCACTAAATGGTGAGAAAGTTTTTTAGGTTTAAAACATTCACAACATTTTCTAGTTTTGTTTGGCAACTAAATCTGATGTAATGATTTACATGAAGATTGTCAATTTTTACATTATTTACATTCACAGACTTCCCTTGATTTCCTTTGGAATCTACATGGTAGAGTGCTACAAAATGGTGCATAATTTTGATCTGAAAAGGTGTTGAATGCATTTCAAATGCTTTTGTGATCCAAAGAAGAATTTGCATTAGTATATAAA